TATATATATATATTTATAAGGTAAATAAAAATATTATTTGATATATTCTATAAAAATATCATTTATAATATTTTGCAGGTCCTTTATCTAGTATTCTATCGACCAAATACTCATATAGAACAGTAACTCTCATCGGCGGCACCTTTGCGGCCAGCGGCATGATGCTGAGCTACTTTGCCAATTCAGTTACTTACCTTTATATCAGGTATACAGTTTTTTTGTCGATTGACGTTTGAGAGACGTCGTAAATGAATAGGCAAACATAGTTATTAACAGTTCTAATTTTAATAATTTCTATGGCAAAACAGTGCCAAATTATTGTGTAACAAGGCCGATTATTGAATCAATTAATACGAAAGGTCTCCTTGATTTGCGAACATTACACAACTTCTGCGAACTTATAAAGTCCGTTATCTATATGTTTGTCAAGTATTTAATATTATATTCAAAATGTATATTAAAATGCTACATGGAAGACTTTTGCGGAAAAAGAACTAAAAAAAAAAAATAACTGTTTTATATAGTACTTCTCTCTCTTGCAAGTTACAGAAATAACAATTTATTCTTTTGATACGTAGTTATGGTCTTATGGTTGGAATCGGCGCTGGATTATCATTTCCTCCGACGGTTTACATCGTTACGCAATACTTTGAGAAGCTACGAGGGATGGCGAACGGTCTATGTATTTCCGGTAGCGCAATCGGCACAATAGTGCTACCACCGTTACTGCAACATCTCTTGGACCGCTTTGGATACAGGTAATTTACTAAGAAATTCTAATACCTCTGATAATAATTATTTATTAAGAGAACATAGAGGAGCATTTATTAGAAAAACCGAATATGAATTATTCAGATGTTCCTCTCGGCTCCGGTTCGAGAACAAGATATCTATTCTACCGAGAGCGCTTCCACAAAAGACTTTATACATAGTTCCAACTTTCGAGGGATCGGAAAATAGAAGTGCACTTCGAAGCGGTTTGGGAAGCCACACGACACAAAACCTTTTGCAAATCTACGCCAAAATCTTCGTTTCAAGAAAGGTCTCGCAGACGTCGTACAATGAAGCCTCCATCATTTCGGAAATTCTAATTTCTCTTTTCTATGCGTTTAGTAGTAGAGAAAAAATCCAACAAATAAATATAAAACTTTTTTCATAAAACCTAAAGAAACAAATGTAAAAGAAATACAACCAAGGATCCAAGTTGAAGTTTTATCTAAACTATCTCTTTCTCGCCCCTTAAAAATAAAGCTGGATGCATACTTTACTTAAATCAGGTTTCTCGTTGTCACATTTCAGAGGAGCTGTACTCATCATGGGTGCGATCACGCTGAATACGCTGGTTTGCGGTCTCTTGTATCATCCGGTCGAGCAACACATGAAAATCGTGCCCCTGGATGACGGTATCGATAATGAAGCACTGACTCTCGACGAGTCGATTGGTGAAAAACAGGAATCGGATGAAAAAATGGGAGAGGACGCAAAATTCACTGATGACGAACCAATACGCAAGTTTTCGGATCTTTCGCACAACCAGAACAACGTGGTACTGGAGACCACCGAAAAAACATTTTGTAAGCCTGAGAAGGCATCTTGTAAACCCGAGAAGAAACTGGATTACAAAACGAATGATACAGTCGTGGGATTACGTTACGATGTCATTAGGGATGAGATTCCGCATGAAAATATTTCAAATACGAATGAATTTCGTATGACGATTCGTCCGAGTCAGGAGGACGATGATGATCTGAATAGTGACACGCAGAATTTATCGCGGCGAGGCAGTACCGAGGCTGGTACCGAGAAAGATATCAAGTTGCAATTAGATCTCTTGAAAATCGGAAAGAATCCGAAGGAAGATAGCAGAGTGCGCGATGAGGAACCCAAACGGGACGATGCGTGCTCGAAGTCGATCAAAATATCAAAAAAACATGACAAAAAAAAGCCCTTCTTCGATCTAAGCGTGCTGAGGGATCCCATTTACTTAGTGATTCTCATCTCCAACTCCACATCGGCCATCAGCAATACGAATTTTATGATCCTACTGCCGTCTTACGCGATTGCCGAAGGATTCGACAAAAACTCGTCGGCTCTGCTCCTGTCCATAGTCTCGGCGTTAGATCTGGTCGGCAGAATCGGTGGCGCATCCTTATCTGATATCGACTTCGTACCCAAGTATTATTACTTTGTAGGCGGACTCGGTACCAGTGGAATCGCTTTGGCATTATTACCAATGGCGACCAGCTACACTATGCTGTCATTCTTCTGTGGTCTCTTCGGTCTGTCGTCAGGAATGTATATCGGCATCACGACTGTCATCCTCGCGGACATGTTGGGAACGGAGAAGCTCAGTTCGTCCTATGGGATTTCATTGTTCGTTAATGGCGTGTTGCAGCTCGTCGGACCGCCTATTTGTGGTGTTATTTTCGAGAACATACTATCTTATAAGCCGATCTTTTTAGCCTTTGGAATTATCTTAATTTTGGGCACTGCACTTTGGGCGGTAGTGCCGCTTATCAAAAGAAATAATAAAAAGAATATAGAAGCGATATAAAATTCGCGCAAATAACTTGTGCACAACTTCGACGAAGGTTTTTCGGTGCAATTTAAGCATTTTATAAGACTTTATGTATTACAATTGCGATGGTTGCGTTGTTGAAAACGTCCAACAATATCCTTAGATACTTTTAAACTGTGAAACATTTGAATTATTGTATATTTCTAGACGAATTGACACTTGTTTTTGATATTTGTACTTTAAGAAGAAACTTTGGGAAAGCTCATAAAATTTAATTTTAATTAATATTAGACGTGAAAATAATCGAGCTTTGTATCCTCAAATCCAGCATGACCATGTATATAGCTATCTGCGCAGCAGATATTTATCATTACAAGTATTTTCCACGATTTGTGCCATTATTGCTACATAAATTGTCATGTAACAAAGGCTTGTATAAACATGAATAGCCATCATTGGAGACAGAATAATATTGTATTTTAGCAAAATGTGAGATGTTATCCAAGATGAAAGAAACATCTGTTTGCAAATATATAATTCATTAACAGAATAGATATATTATGTATATTAATAATAATTTTTATATTATATCCTGAAAAAAATGAATATCTTGTAAAATATTTTTGTAACAATATGATATAAATATTTTTACAATGTCTTTATTCGATAAGTCTTCTGGTTTCTACGAGCCTTTCTGAAACGTGCACACATCAAGCTATTATTGTTTGATTCGTAGCTTATATATTAATATAAGTTTATTGTTAAAAATAACTTTTACTGCCAGTAACAAAATAATATTATTGAGAAATATTTACTAAACTTATTTTATGAATAAAAATAATACCTAAAACGTTAGAAGATGACGTAAATAAGGACATATACGTACGTACTACAGGAGTTCCGTTAAACAACTTTGTGCCAAAGTGATCAGGAAAGTTTCTAGTAGTTTGAATGACATTCACAGTTAAGAGATATTTAATTATTAAATCATATAATCAATAAATATTCGATTATACTAAATGTTGAATAATCGAAAATATGTAATAATAAATGTAACTTATACATATAGTGAAAGCATGAGGATCATAAGCATAATAGAGATGTTAACATTTCTAAATATCCCCCCCCCCCTCTCTCTCTCTCTCTCTCTCTCTCTCTCTCTCTCTCTCTCTTTGTCTCTCTCATGATTTTCAATCAGTGTTTTTCTCTTTCCTCCTTTTTCTTTCTCTATAATTTTTTACATTTGCATAATCTAAGTTGGAATGACGCAATAACTAAAAATAACTTAAGAAAAAGTTCTTTTGTTATTTTCATAAAAATCATAAACTGCAGTATGAAAGACGTCGATATACATATAATACAAATAATATGCAGAAAAATAGAAGATGAAATATTTTGAATGAAATAAATACTAATAAATACTCTTTTTATTTAATTTTATTGTAATTTAATATCTTAACTTAATCCGATTTTTCTGACACAAGTTTTGTGTATATCGAATGCGAATATAACAAAAAAGAAAAATACATTGAATGACGTCTTTTGTAATCTTTAAAATTTGGGCAATGTTGAGATTAAAGCTATATGCAAAATATATTTCTGTACATATCTGTGCGTGTCATTTCTCAATTCTCTTGTTTCATTTGTTGAAGATATATAATCTTCGATTGTATCACTTGTACAATTATTAATTTATGTCATACAATTTGTATTATTCTAACATTCCCTTAATTTCTCAATTCGCTATTATAATTAATTTAATATATCTAATGAATTGCGCCGATTAAGAAAATGCTTTATTTACACGCATTATTTCTATTTATCCGAAAGTGTATTGCAATATTAAATGTGTTTCCTAACAAAATAAACGTGCATCTATATGGACATATGACGAAAATATGATCTCTAATATATTTTTACTATTAAATTCGAAAACTTGAAATAATTGATTTTGATTGATTTTCTGTGTTAAAAATTTGTAAAAATTCTTAGCGCATTTTCTTCTTCTAAAATTTTGAGTTCTTACAATTAAATGTTTAGATAACTATTCGTTAAATAAAAATTATGAAAAAATATTCAATTTTAAATGTTTAATTTCAAATTTATGATAATAAAAGATCATAATTATGACAAATGTCATAAATAATAAATGTGAGATATTGGACGAAAGCAAAAATTGATTTGTGATTAATCTTTTGTTACAATTGGATTTGAAAAGCCTACGCGATTCTTTGATAAGATTTTAAGCAATCTTAGTTATCGTATATAATTATCGATATCAAATATTTAATTATAGATGTGTTGAATCAAATAGTGTAAGATCAAATTAAATAGAAAAAATCATTTTTAAAACTGATTTTGTTGATAGCTTTATGCAATTTTGACAGAAACAAAAAAAAAGCGGAATGGCAAGAAGAGATGTAAGATTATAACAAGTGTTAAAAAGTGGCAGGTTACGAAGTTGTTGTATCTCTTCGTCCTGTGAAGGAAACGATAGAGCGAATACCTTTTACAGAGGTCTGAAATGTTAAAAGAACAAAATAATTCTTATTAATCATATGATTTGAATAATAATAATAATATATTTCAAATTGTAACAATAATCTCATAAAAAAAAAGAAATTACCTTTTTCTTAGATCCATTAAGAAAATCCTTATACATTTCCGAGCGTAAATATCTCGAATAACTATCACTTTTCATTAGATGGTATACATGCGCCTAGAAAATAACAATAATAAAAATTAGAGAGCGCTAATAATATATAAAAATAGAAAATTGTTTTAAATAAATCAATTCGAGCAAAAAAAAATCATATTAATAAATCTTGTTTAATACTCATTTTGAATGATCTATTTCAAATAATTTTTTCAACTTAGAAAAAATAAATAAAAATTTTAATAATTTAAAAAAATTTTATTTCTTTTAAATTGATTAAATTTTTCCTCGTTTCTTTATATGATATACGTAACTAAATAATTAATAAGTTAAATTTATACCGCAGCAACATCGAAACACCATCGGTCCGGCTTTTCGAAACTTTTTTTGGTAATCTCGTAGGATTGAGAATCGACATTGATGGGACAACTTGCATCTGTGTCCAAAAATTCACGCCATATCTCTTCGACTTTCATCTGGACATCTTTTTGCGGTAAAGTTTTCAATTCCTGAACGGTTTCCCAAAATCTGCACATATCATAAATGATCTCGTCTCCCTGATGCAAATTCAATATCGTATTATGTGTGTAGATAGAGTATATATAAGTATATAAATATAAATAAATAGTAATATTTATCTAAAGAAAACAAGCTTACATGGTAATTATTATACGTACTTGAGATTTTCGCCGCTAAATTCTTTATCTAAAAAGCGTATAAATTGTTCTCTACCAACGGAATCTTGCAGGAGTTCTTGAAGACTAAATGCCCACCTCTTTACTCTTCTCGTGGATATTTCTTTCCTACATATCCGTAAATATGAATACACATAATATATAATATTAGATGATATTTCCGCAAATACTGCAAAACACTATTTTTTTATAGTGTACTCACGCTAATTTCTCTGGCTCCCACATTTCCGGACTATCGGAAATCCATGGATTTGTGAGCTCAGGCTGGATGAAAAAAGGATCGTATTCCATGTATTGTTCAAAGTACCCGATCAAACTAAAAATATCGCATATTGATTAGCCTATAAACTATAAACGCATATAATATATGTATTTAGCGAAGTTTAAATAAATGTAATATTATTACATCATCGAACGCAAAATAAAATATGGAACAGATAGACTTTTACTTTCGTTGTTTTATACAAACAACCTCGAATTAAACCTCGATTAATTTTAACAAATATTAATGCAAATGCATATATATATATATATCCCTTAGTTTACTTTGCTAAACAAATAAGCAAATTCTATTGACATACGCTTCTGCTACTTTTGAGACCTTGATGACGGGCTTGTCCAATCTATCTTTCAGAGTCTCGATCTCCTTCTGCAAAAATTCTATCGATGAGGTCGCACTCAATTCTGCAGACGGCGATATTCTACCACCTGCGACACCCAGTTGCAAATGCTTACTTGGTTGTATAACAGTTTTATAACTGCGACAAGCCTTCTTGATATCCAGCTCCGTAGTATTTACGCATCCAGGCTGAAATGTAATGTGAGATTTGATATGTATTTCTTTAATAAAAAAATATTTCTCCCATTTATTATATATACGTATTTATAAAGCAAAAATTATCATCCCGATATTTTATAATAAGAAAACATGTAAATGTCCTTTTCTTTATTATCTCAACTTTATTATTCTAAGAAGAATTACCATTGGTCGATGTACATCCCAGAAGGCTCTCTCTTGACTATCCAGGACTTTTCTTTCTAATTTGTCTCTTTTCTTGTCAACTTTGCTTTGTGCTTCTGCCTGCATAAAAATAAATTCCCATTTTCGCGAAAACATCTTTTGTAATCTAGCCAGATTTTCCGCTTCGTAATCCGCTAATTCCAATCGCGTTTTATTCTGCATCGTCCTTTTGCATAAATAGACAGCTGTAACATTTAACATGATACGCACTAATGAAAATTTATATATTTATTAAATATGTTTCTAATTATTGTTAATCATGATATTTTTCGATATAAATGACAGATAAAATTACACTAACGATAAAGATTAATATCTTTTTATACCATAATCAGTATTTTCGGGTTCCCAACAATTCGATGGCCAAAAATACGGTGTTTGAAATCTGTAGAACGTGTTGTCGCTCTTTACGGTAAGGCAGTGGTCGTCGATAGGAAAAAAATATCCATGGGATGCCATAAGATGAGCCACGTGAAGAGCCTCTGGATTAATGTATCAATATATTACGCTTCAGATTATATTAATCATGAATAAAATCTAAGAATTAATATAAACTAAAACCATATACCTTGATCATCTATATCCATGCTCTTCATCATCCATGCTATAAGATCTGTGCCTAAAATATATATATACATATATATTATATATATATAATTATTTGATTTGTCATCTTCGATTACAAATAATAATGATCAAAATTTATGCCTTCAAAAAAAGCTTAAAAAAAATTCTATTTTCGTATACTACGCTTTTCTTTTTAAATTGACAATAAAAAATTTGTATTTATAACGTTATAAAACACAAGTCTTTTACCTGTGAAAACAGACGGCGTCTTCGTCATGAAAGTCTTGACTGTTTTCACGGGAACACCGGTAAATTCGTCCAACATCTTTTCCACGATCG